TGGACTGGGGATGATGTTAGAAACACAGTGGATAGAGTGCTGGAGATAGGTTGGGCTGTTCTAGGTCCTAGAGTTAGCTTTGGTGTATATGTTGCTGAGGAAGGCCTAGCCATCTGGCCAGATCTGGGTCCAAAGGGTCCAGTGGTCTCAGCAGCCAGTCCATCTTCTCAGAGACTCCTAGGTCCAGCTGTACCAAGTCCAGACAGCCTCCTGCACAAGGGTCTCACTCCAGAGTGGCCACAACTGACCCCCAGGCAGCTCATGACCAGGACCTTCTTCGAACACTTTGGCTACTAAACCAAGGCCAACCCCTGTCTCTCTGTTTTGTCCTAGCTGGGATGAGGGGGTCAGGAAGGCTGGCCTGTGCTAGGAGAGGGCAGGCTCACCTGCAGCCTTCCAGGCCCAGCTCCCAGAGGCCCAGTCAGAGCTACTCTGCCTGGTCTCCCCTGCCTGATATCAAGTCTCAGTCTTCAGCTATTGTGGCCAGAGCTTGTCCCCCAGTCAGGTCTCTGTCTGGCTTACACTTGGTCAACTTTCGTATCTTTAGTTTATTTACCTCAGAGCTCTGTCTCTCCCCACCCCTTCCTTCCCTGTGCCCTAGGCATAACTTCAGGCTCTCAACCTGCCCTGTGGTGGTGACTCAGGCTGCTAGAGTTCACAGGTGTGGTGCCACCTGCACCAAGACACAAACAGACCCACTTCCCTGGAACAGACCCAAATGTCTTTCTGCCAAAAGCTGGCCACTGAGAGGGACACGCAAAAGGAGGGATCCGTGTGAGTTCTTATTTTGACCTTCAAGAGCTGACTGGAGATCCACAGCCCCCAGCTTTTCTGTGTGTCCATCACTACAGCATTTCACTGCTGGTCTCTGGGGGCCTCCCTGTCCCCTGGTGTTAATACTCTTTCTCAACTACGCAGAAGAAACTGCAGAGGCCCCATGCTCACCCTTGAGAAGAGGATCATGGCAAGGGTCACATTCCTGGAACCAACTGAGACTGAATCTTCTCAGCTCTTTTTGCTGCTAACATACAGGCCCCACTCTATGCAGTCTGGGTTATTTTGTTGTGTTGAGGGTTTTCTTGTGCCTGTTCTGGGACTTGAACTCAGGGCCTAGGAACTATCCCTAGGCTTTTTTGCTCAAGGCTAGCACTCTACCACTTGAGCCACAGTTCCACTTCCAGCTTTTGTGTGTGTACACGCAAGCAAGTCTTGCGGACTTTCCTTCCCAGGCTGGGTTTGAACTGAAATCCTCAGATCTCTTGCTTCTAATTTGTGAAGCCACTGGCACCCAGCACCATGTACTCTGTTAAGACCCAGGAGACCTGCTGTGAATGGCAAACCTAGGCACTGGGATCTGATGGGGCCATGCCTTTCATTCCACCCCTATCCTTGTCTCTGGGTTCGGGTTACCCTGTTGGTCCTACCAGCTGCCACCCTGTGCTTTGCTCAGAGAAGTGACAGGCCACTGTCACATCTCAACACAAACATTACTGTTGTCCTACACAAGGAGCAGAGAGCCCTTTAAAAGACATTCCCAAATGTGGACAGAAAATCACAGGTAAATAATCCACACCCCCACACTCACCCCTTCAAGAAGACTTCCTCCTAAAAGCCAGCCGCTGCCGCCCAGATCCCTGATGCCAGCCAACAATGCTGTGGGCACAGAAAAGCACCTCCATACCCCTTGTTATTTGATCCAGATGTCTCTAGCTATTGCCACCTCTGCCTACCTGTGGGATTCGTTTCTGGCTGAGGCTAGGTGTGGTGGGCCCTGTGGGGGGCATCACTGCCTCCTAGCTCAGAACAAAGTAACATCTTGGTATCATCTCAAGTGAGACCATAAGAGGCTCACACTGTTGGGCAATCAGTTGGGACAAATCCTATAGCCAGCACTGCTTTGGATCAGAGATGTGTGATCTGAGCAGAAGCAGAGAGAAGCTGGGGAAACCCCTGGGAGAACCTAAAGATAAATGTAAGGTCCATGCACTCCTGAGGGCAGCTGAGATACACAAAGAGAAACCTCTGGCTGGATAAGACCACCCCTAAGGGGTGGGCAATCAACTCTTCTAGGGGCTGCTTCTCAGGACATTGGTACTGAGAGTGCCTGGAGACCCAACAGCCGTAGGACTGGACCCTCAAAAGAAAGGGACAGGTTTTGCTGCAAGAGAAGCTGAATAAAGATAATACAACATAATTTTACAAAGAGGGGTAGAGGCATGTGAGCTAGGCCTGGCTCAGAGAAACATAGCACGATGCTACTTACCAGACTCTATTCCCCTTGAAGAAACAGGAGGAATGAACAGAGGGCCCAGCCTCTTCTCAGAGGTCAGGGTAGAGAAGATAGATGGGTGAGGACCTAGGTACAGTCACAAGCTAGCTCCTGGAGGTGCCACTCTGGTTGAGCTGCCAGAACTTTCAAGCCTGGAGGCCAAAGTCTCCATCAGCTCTCCAGGGCTGACCTGTGGTTCTGGACATTGCCTTGTCCATTCCCCAGAAACAGTTGTGTCATGGAAGTGTGAAGATGCCAACTCTGTATTCCGTACCTCAAACTCCAGCACCGGGTATATAGGAAGCCCTTGAAAAATCAATATTACAGGCTCCTAACTATGCAGGAAGTTGAGATCTGAATATTGAGGCTTCAAGCCAGCCTGGGCAAGAAAGCCAATGAGACTAATCTCCAATTAACCACGATAGAAAGATAGATAGATAGATAGATAGATAGATAAAAGCTGGAAGTAGAACTGTGGCTCAAGTGGTAGAGGACTAGCTTTGAGTAAAAAATGCCCAGGGACAGTCCCGAGCCCCAAGTCTGGCACCAAAAAAAAAAAAAAAAAAGGCAACCAAGAAGATTCTGTTTATATGGGACTAAAGAACTGGGATTTGAATCCAGATCAGTCTGGTTTATTTGGAGCTTCACGCCCCAGGCTGAGTTAAAGGCTGCAGGTTCAAACCAAAGTGGCCCGCCCTTCTGCCTTCAGGCAGGAGCCAGCTGGGCCTGAGCCAGTGAAAAGGAGGGTTCTGTGGTAAGGCCTGAACTGCCTGAGCTGTGGGAGCCTGGCCTCCCCCCTCTCTACACCCCCCTCCCCAGCACCCAGGCCTACCCTATTGGCAGCCCTGTTGGGAGTGTCACCTACAGAGGGATTTCCAGGTGAAATCCCAAAGCCTGGCCCCCAGCTAACCTAGAAACTCCTGGCAAACAGAGGCCCGCCCTTCTCTCTCCACCCCTTCCCGCCCACTGGCCAAAGGACCCGTTTGTTTTTCCTCCAGGTTAAGGCTGGGGGTGGGTGGGGGAAGGGCTGGCCTGGGCGGATGCCTCCTTCCTACTTCCCTGGCTGGATGTCCCCACCACCCAGAGTCCCAGCCGGCTAACCCTGGAAGGGTCTTTAGATGCATAATGGCAGGCAACTCCAGGCCCCAAGTCAGCAAAGGTTCCAGAGCCCCTTACCTATGGACCATGCTGTCCTAAAGGATGGAGAAGCAAGCCCTAAGGATGGGTGGCCTGGTCATTGGGCTTTCAGCCCTGCCCTTGGTGACCCCATTTGCAGAGGAGTGAAGGAGTTGTTTTAGTCACAGTCCATTTCCCAGAGGTCTGTTAGGTGGACAGACAGCTCTGCCTGGGAAAGAGCTTTCCAGGGTGGTTCTTCTCCGGTGGTTTGAGCCTGCCTGGTGTGGAGCTGGAGCCTGTCTCTGGGAGGTTGGGCTGGATGAATCCTTGGCCCAGCTGTGGTCCCTGGAGGCCTCAGAGCGGCTCTAGCTGGTCTGATGGCTTTAAAAGACTGTGAGTAAGAATGGGACTGTGAGACGAATCTCCAATTAACCACGATAGTCTCTCTGGGTTCCCTTTGGTGGGAGGGTGTCTCCCACCTCTGTTCTGTCAGCAGCATGAGTGGGTGTGCAGAGCCTTGGCCCACAAGTGCTCCACAGCAGCAATACTAGGCAGGGGATGACATGGTGTGGCCCGTTCAAGGCCATGATCACCCAGGGTCTGATAAGGGACCAGAGGAGCTGGCCCCTTGCCCTGCCCCCACAGCTGCTTATGGCACAATATCGATCTCTCTCAGGCCAGCTCTCCCTGCCAGCCTGCTTTGTCCAGTACTGTCTCAGCAGTCTTGGGAGAGGGTTGATGTGGCTCGGTGCCCAGACCCAGCCGGAGAGGATTAGATACCCTCCCCCAGTGCTCTGAGAAGGACCAGTGTCCCTGCCTCGGGCCAAGAGGAGTCTGAGTGGCACTTCAGAAACAGCCTAGGCTGCCTGGTTTAGTTCTAGTCTAGATCAGCTGTGTTGACCCTCTGTGGGCAATGCACCCTCTCTGAACCTTGCTATCTGTATAATGGGAATGCTCACTACTCTCTCAGATAGAGTGGTGAGCATTAAAGGTGGTGTCAGTATTGACTTATGGGATGGGGTCTGGAGCTCAAGAAAGCAATGGCTGGGAGTCCCATTGTTAGGGTCTCCTGCAGCAACCAAACTCAGGCTGCTGATGGAATGAGCCTAGTGGCCCCAGAGTCCCCCCCCCCATCCCATCCCCCTCCCCTCATCTCAGTGGATAGTGACCAACATGCCCTGGTTCACTCTTCCTACTCTTCTGCCCGTTACTGACTACCCTGAGCCTCAGTTTCCCTGCTTGAGAAACATTGCTTTGCCTTTGTAACTCACCCTTCCTGTGACATGAAAAGGGGCAGTTTTTACAGCCAGGTACAAGAGCTGAACACAGCCTCCCCTTTCCCTCTCTGGGACTGGCTGGTCACAACCTCAGACTTGTTCCCTTCCTTTGCCCTGGCGGGTAGTGGAGCCCAGGCCCTGTGCCAGCCCCACACCCAGCTGGGGTCCCACCAGCATGGCCTCCATGCCTAAGCTTCCCACACTGACCATGAGGTAGAGTGGCAGGAAGGGGGAAAAGCCCACAACCCTATGGATAGTGTCTGCGGCCGCCTGGCAGATTTATTGGCACTTGGCATTCAGCTACTCTGAGCACATGTTTGCTCTAGTCTAGCTTCACCATGGCGTCGGAGGTTTGTGCTGTCTATGCCAAGGCCGCAGTTCTGCTTTGTCCCCCACCACCACGGAAGACACCAGAGTCCCTCAGCCCCCCTCCCACCCGGCAGAGACACTTGTCACCAGCATGCTTCCTGGGGACTCAACGTGGGGCTTGTCTGTGCAAAGGAGGGTTCACGCACACCCTTGGGAACTTCCTGGTGTCCCTGAGCTGGCACGGGCCTGTCCCCCCACTGGTGCCTGGAGCTCTCAGCTGCAGACAGGTCCCTTCCCCCATCTCCCCTGTAGTTCCGCAGACAGGCTAATCAGCTCCTCGGGTGGCCTGTGATTGCGCTCCAGAGATATTTTTACCTTATGCAAATAGGTGACTGCAGAGGTGCCCTCATCTGTCAGCAGCCAGCCCCCCCCCCACCTCCAGCTGGATGCCTTTTGCCAAGAGCTGGCCAAGCCTGTGGGCATGCCCTCTGGCCTCCCCACACTTCTCCAGGAAAACCACATTCACAAGGGGGCCCATAACCACCCATCATAGGGACTGGGAGGGGGTAGGAGGTGGGATTCAGAGCTTAAGAAGGACAAGGCCAGCAGCTGACAGAGGCAAGGAGAGTGGTGGAAGGGCCAGGGGCTGCTCCTCTCCAGCTGCCCTATACAATGGCTCTGGTGGAGCCTGGCCAGTTGAGGGGATCCTCCAGTCTTATTGAGAGAGGCAGAAATCTGCCAGCACTAGAGACAATCAGATAGATCCCTGGCCTCTGCCATTTGTACACTTACTGGGCACTTTGCTAGGATTGCAACAGGCCCTAATCAGCCTCTTAGTGAGGCCGGGCTGGAGCATAGAAGCATGGAGTTCACATCTCCAAGGTGGCCAGGTCCAACTTGCCCAGCTTTCTGGGCATCTCAGCTCAAGCCTCTGCCTTGCTGTGACTCTGCCTCCCTGCCCCGGAGAGGTGCCTGCACACCCAACCTATGACTAGCTCACTCTTCTCATCATGCCTGGGCCTGGGCAGGGCTGGGCTGGCTCGGACTGGGCAGACACACAGAGGACGCAATTGCCTGAGGAGTTGGATGTGACAATTGGCAGCAGGCAGATGTGTGGGCATGAGCCCCGCCCAGGGCAGCCACTGTGTCTAGCTTTTATCTTGCCTCAGGGTTTGGGATAGACACCTCTTCCGTTTCAGAATCACTCAGAGCAGGCCTTCTGGTGATCAAGAAAAGTAGGAAGGACAGGCTTGCATGTGGCCAAAGGCCCTTAGCAGCCTCTGGCCTCTGTTCCCCACCTCCCACATGCATACCATGTTCTTAGCCTCAAGGGCACAGACGGGCAGGACCAAAGGCTCCTTCTTACCATTACTCAGCCAGGCTTACAGTTCTGTGTCTTCAAGTAACTCATCTGCTCCAAGACCTGCAAAACTTAAAGTCTCCTCTGTGGGCTCCATAAGCCTTAGAGGACAGAATACTTTGGCTGTGTCCCCCAGCCCAGCTCCCAGCTGGCATGTTACCTGGTAGGGATAAGGTACTCAGAAGCACTGGTAGGAAGAATGGGTGAGCAGATAGATGGACAGACTGGCTAATAGATGAACAGTGACTAAGATTTTCCCAGCCAGCTCTGCAAAGAGATGTGCATCCCCATTGTTTGCTCGATGCTGTGGCCCTCACATCTCAGTGTTCCTTGTTTGGCAGATGAGGAAACAGAGTCCCAGACACACCAAAGAGTTTGTAGCAGAGGAAGGATTGGGCCTCAAGCCGTTGTCCCATCCTCTTAGGCATGGATGGTGCCTGACCCTCTCTCCTTCTTCCTGGAAATGTCAGGGTCTGCTGGCAACAATGTCAGGGCTGGTTTTCCTGCATGGTGAGAGGCTAGAATCTTGAAAGATTCTGAATCCTTGAGAGTCCTCATCAGCCTGTTTGAAGCCATAGGGATTCCCTCTGGAGGGGCCAGTGTAGTAATGAGGGCCGCTACTATAGACTGTGCTCATGGACACAGCTTTGTTCTAATGAGGACAGTGAACCATAATCACCTAGTGGAGAATGTTTTCTTCATTTTTATTTGTTTTGTTGACCTTGGGGTTTGAATTCAGGGCCTAGGTACTGTCCCTAAGTCTCTTTGTGCTCAAGGCTAGCCCTCTACCACTTGGGCCACAGCACCACTTCCGGCTTTTTCTGAGAAGTTGATTGGAGATAGTCTCACACAGACTTTCCTGCCTAGGCTGGCTTCAAATTGCAATCCTCAGATCTCAGCCTCCTGAGTAGCTAGGCAAAGTGGAGTATATTGTATGTCAGATGGTGATAAGTGCAGGCCATGAGGACAAGGGGCAGAAGGTAAACCAGTAGGATCTTCTCTACACCATGAGGAAATGTTGAAGCAAAGACTTGAAGGAATAAGAGGCAATAGACAATGGGAACAGCCAGTACAAAGTTTCTGAGGCTGAAGCCTACCTAGCTTGATGGATGGAGGAGTGAGCTCAGAAGAGCTAAGGCAGAATGAGGTAGTGAGGGACCAGTACCTCCTAAAGAATGGGTTTTTCCAGTCTGGAGGGTCCTTAGAAAGCTAAAGATTGACCTCCCTTACGACCCAGTCATACCACTTCTAGGCATCTACCCTGAACAACAGGAACCAATATACAAGGACACGTGCACCTCCCTGTTTATTGCAGCACTGTTCACAATAGCTAGGATATGGAAACAACCTAGATGCCCCACCACAGATGAATGGATCCAAAAATTGTGGTATCTATACACAATGGAATATTATGCAGCCATTAGAAATGACAAAATAATGGCA